GATGGAGATGGCATGGTTAGAGAAGTGGCAGAAAATCAAAGAACAGGGTGTCATGGGAAGGTGAAAGGAGAGAGAAGTTCGGGGTAGCAGAGACACTGGAGATGACGATGGATTTTCAACTAAGAATTCACAGTGACCCTAAAGAGATCCTACAGGTACAAGGGGGCAGAAGTAAGACTTGATGGAGCTGAAAAGTGATGAGACCCTTCTGTTACGTTTAGTGACGTTCTCCTCATTAGACTTGTAGGACTTCAATTCTGCCCAGGGCCGGCAGATACCCACTCTCATCACATCCCACAAGAGCTGAGGGCCTTTCCCACCCATGCTGTTTTGCTGAAGATGCATATGGTCAAGTTTTGTTGAGCATCTAGAATGGAAATTAGTTATTGGCCACGTTGCATGTGATGGGTGTCATGAGCAAGGTCCTAGGGTCTAGGTGTTCTCTCCACGTTGGCCACAACCATGCCTCCTAGAACAGTCCCTCAGTATCCCAGGTTCACCCCACTTTCCATGACAGCCACTGCCTCCAGCGACCCAGGCGTCCTGTCCCAGTGTTCATAGGACATATCAAATCAGGTGGTTCTCCGCATGGTCACACAGCCGTCTCCCTGACTTCCTCACTTGCATGTCAAGTGACTCCTCAAGACCATCCTCCCTCAAGTCCATCCCTCTACAGTCCTCTACAGACACAGCTCCCGTTTCCCAGGTGCTCAGGGGAACATTCTGGCATCATCCCTGCCCTTCCATTCTCCTCAATGATCGCATCTATTAGAAAGCCCTGTAACTTGACCTTCCACACACATCCCTAAACATGTCCTCACCCAGCCCTGGATCAAGCCACTGTCCCTACTCCTGGAGGATCCAATGGCATCTTTCCATCTCTCTGTGGCTACCATGACCCATTTGGATTTGTTCTGACCAGGGCAGCCACAGGGTCCTGTTAGAGAGGGAAAGTCCAGGCATGTCTCTGCTCTCTTCAAAGGTTCCAGGTTCCTGCGTGGCCTCAGGGCCCCATGTTGTCTGCAACCTCCTCCCCACTGCTCCCTCCTCCTGCCTCCCTCTGCCTCAGACACCTGCCTCTGGGTGTGTCCACAGCTCTCAGGCCTACTGCTGCCTCTGAGCCCTGACTCCTGTTCCCCTTTCTCTCCTCCTGGGAGACTTTTCGCTCAGGCAGACACAGAGCCTGCATCCTCACCTTCTTCCAGCATTCACCCAGACATCACCTCCTCACACTGTTATGTACGGAACTGTCTCCTGTCTGTCACAAGTTTCTTTCCCTGCATGATTTTCCTCCAAAGACATGTAGCCATCTACAGCACTCTCATTTATTTGCAATTTATTGTTTCCTTCTTGCATCCAGAATGATGTACCTTGACGACAGAAGTGTTCTCTCTTTATGTTTTTATAGGGCTAAAATATATGTAACATACAATTTGCCATTTTAAACATCTTATAGGGGTAATTCAGTGGCATTAAGCACATTCACAGTGTTGTGTAGCCGTCACCACTATATAATTCCTGAACTTTCTCATCATCTCAAACAGGAATCCTGAACTATTCTCACAATCACTCCCCATCCCTGCCCTGTCCCCAGCCTCTGACAACTGCCATTCTACTTTCTGTCCTGATGAATACGGAAGTTCTATGTGGGTCTCATTGGCAGAGTCATACAATTTTGACTTTTTCTGTTTGGATATTTTCAATTGCCATATTGTTTTGAAGTTCACTCATGTAGCATGTGTCAGAATAACATTCACTCCCTTTCAAGGCTGGAGACTATGCCATTGTATGAATGTATCCATTTTTTTTTACCTGTTCATCCATCATGTACACATGGGTGGTTCCCCCTTTACTACTGTAAATGCAACTATGGATGCTGGTTCACACCTTTCTGTTAAGTCCATGATGTCAATAACTTTGGGAAAATATCTGAGGATAGACTATGCTCAGGTAGTAATTGTAAATTACCTTTTGGAAGGAACACCAATGGGTTTTCCAAGGCTGCACCATGTTACATGCAGTGAGAAAGGGCTTCAGTATCTCCACATCCTTGAAAACAATTAGTATTTCAGCTTTTATTTTGTTTTGATTGGTTTTTTTTGGTAATACCTCTCCGAATAGATATCAAGTATCTCCTTCGTAGTTTTGACTTGAATTTGTCAAATAAGCAATAATGCTGAGTATCTTCTCATCTGCTGTCTGGCTATTTACACATCAGCTGCAAGAGTTTCCAGCAAGGGACAGATCAAGCATGGCCCTCAGTCCAGGTGGTGGGGTTTGCACCTCACTCTCCAATAATGGAGAGAAACATGGCTATTCAGACCATGGAAGATCTGGACGAGAAGGTATTTGGAAGCACAGTCTGGAGACCTGTGTTGGGGAGAGAGGGTGGAAGGAGGGGAGGTAGGTTCAGTGATCAGTGAAGAGGGGAGGCCACAGGAATGACCAGGGTCAGGATGGAGAAGAGGGCACCAAGAGGAGCCGTGCTTAGGAGAAGGAGGGACGAGAGTCAGTGACAGATGGGAGGGAGGTCAAGGTGGAGAAACACGCCCTGGATCTGGCTTTAGAGATGGGGCTTCTGGGTCATCGGTGGAATGAGGATCCCAGCAGAAGTGAGTTTAAGGAGGAGGATAGGCAGCTCAGCTTTGGCCATGCTGAGCAGAGCACCCTGGAGCCACTTGGGGGAGGCGTACAGAGGAATGTTGGATGGTGAGACACCCACAACATTCACCTGAGAGATTAACCCATGACAGTGTCTGCATCCTCTATGCCCGCTGCTGTCTGTGTCTCCTTCCTCTCATGGGACCTCACTGTGAGTGAAGAGACCAGGGCCTGTCAGTGTGGCCAGATTGGGGAGCAGAGGGCAGCAGAGTCACCTCTCTGTGCCCTGTTAAGGGACAGGAATGAGGTAGAGAGAGCAGGTCTGGCCCCTGAAACCTCCTTGATGAGAGCAGAAAATTTCCCACCCTGGACCCTTGGCCAGAGTCAGGGACAGACAGCAACTGGCCCATGTGGATTCTCACCACAACTCAACTTCCTTCCTGGCCCCAAGTCCTTTTGACTCAAATGCCTTCCTCCAGCACTGGACTATAATTCAATGTCACCTCCCATCTCCTTCACATGTCTTCCCTTGGTCCCTGGGGCAGCATTCACCTGAGGAAGATGAGGAGAAGGCAGAGGAGCAGGATCTTCATAGCTGCCTCCCCAAGGGCCACCAGGACCACTTCTGCCATAGGCCCTGATTTCCCTGCAGAAACATAATGGGAGGACTATTCACCTCCTCAACCATGATCCTGGGTCCTTCTTCTCTTGTTGGGACTTGGACACAGGGTTCTCCAGACCCTTCCTGCATCACTGGATATGAGACATGATCAGTTCCAACCCCATCTCACCCCCCCATACCAAGACTGTCCAGCAGCAAACTGAGGGCTCAGGTCCCATGGAAATCCAGGCCCCACAGCTGTGTGTGAGGCTGCGCTGAACACACCCAATTCCCCACTGACCTCAGGGTGGGGCTTGTTCATAGACCTGGGAGCTGAAGGTCATTGGGAGGGATCTGCTGTGCAGCCCCTTGACACTCACTCTGCAGGGAGAGACTCAGGGAGACATGCTGGGAGCCCAGATGGTTCTGAGCTTGGCAGGTGAATTCTCCCTCATTCCTGAGGTGTACTCCAGGCAGATCCAGCACCGCAGGGTTCGAGGGCTTTGAGGGGCCCAGGGTCAGGCTCCCCCAGGTCCAGCTCAGCCTGGCAGGGAGATTGCTGCTGACAGCACAGACCAGGCACAGAGACTGGCCCTCCAGGGCTAAGAGAGATGAGCCATTCCCCAGGGCTGTGGCTGCTGTCATGGGGAGGGTAGAGAGTAAGAGAGACAGAGAGTCAGAGAGACAGGGAGATGAACAGAAAGGAGAACACTGAAGTAGGAGGAGAGGAACAGATTCAGACTCACAGATCTAGACTTAGAGAAACGAAGACTCTGGTAGAGGGATCCAGGGAGGGAGGGAGCAGGAGCCAGAGCCTGGTCAGACTATAGATTCAATGACAGCGTTGTATGGATTTGTCTCTACTCTGTGGGCTGTGTGCAGCTTGAAACATGTCCAGGAAATCACAGAAGGAGTGTCTCAGGCCCACAGGAACCCTGGTAAGATGTCAGTTCAGGCCCTTATCCCATGCCCTCTTCAATGCTCTTGCTGACAACTAGAATCCAGGTTTACCCTGATCATTCTTTTTCTTCATCCACTTCTTCATGAGATGTTGGTTTACTATTTATCATTGTGCCTCTGCGTGGAGCTCACTTCTAGAGGGAGATTCTGATAGGGAATGGGGACCTAGGAACAGGTGCTCACAAGTTCGTATGGCATGTGATGCAGGTGTCGCAGATTGTGCCACCCTGAGGGATGATAACGACGATGGAAATGTGACCATGTAAATGTTGTAGTCCAGCATGTCTTCCTGGAGGAGGCACATCTGTTTCATGCCTTCGGTACACAGGATGGTGAGGGATGGAAGGGCATTTAGAAAGGAGAAACAGAGTGCAAAGATGGCTCAGATATGAATACATCCATAGAAAAGTCAATAGACCTACAGGGTTGGAGTGAGGGGAGTTGTACAGGGCAAGGGTGGGAGTAGAGTGCAGAGACAGGACATGGGCTGGGGAGACACCTACACATCACCCTCCCTTTTGGGATGGAAACTCATCCATCCTTCACAGAGGTCAACATGCCCACCTCTCTCCAGACTTGAAAGAATAATGACCCAGCTCTTTTCCATTTAGGACATTAATTCCCCAGCTCCACACATATTTATAAAAAGATATACAAGATTATTCACTGCAGAGTGTCTGTGGTAGAACACAGTTAATGCCCTGACTCTCCGTGAGAAGAAGATGGCCACAGAATCAGGATCCATCTGTTCCATGGACATCACATGGAGGAGGGTGAGGACAGTCCACCCTACTCATGTCAATGACCTCTGAGATCCTTCAGATGAACACACCAAGGCTCAGAGCAGCTTGGACGGACATGGGTTGATTCTGGGGAGGGGGACGGGCATCCGGGGATAGACTCTGCTGTGTGTTTTGGATTTTAGCCCATATGACTCCATCACCTGTCCAGAAGGACTTAGGTTAGAACTACCGGGCAAAAAGGAATAAAAACTAAGGACAGGTGACAAGTTCAGGAGAAAGATGATGAGGCCATGGATGCGGGTCTTGCTGTGTGAATATCACCCTATCCTTGCTGTATGCTGGGAGCATGTGTGTGGAGGAGTCTGAGGAGAGCGAGGGGTGGATGAGACAGTTGCTCAAAGGCCCTGAGCACTGAGGGTGGGGAGCGGACCTGGATTCACCCACAAGGGAGTCTCTGGTATCCAGGTGAGTCTAGATAAAGAGGGGCCCTACTCTGAGCTGAAGGTCCTGCTCCCCATCTAGGGAGGGCACTTCATCCTACTTGTGTCATCTCCTTGGAAGACAGTCACAGTCAAGTTCTGAGAAGCATCTGGATAAAATGACATGGCAGCTCTGCATCACTGTGGGGGTGGTGGACACTGGCGCTGTAACTTGGGAGATGCATAGACAGGGAAGGTGGAGACAGCATCCTACTGACCCCCCATTTTCAGTCCAGATTTCTTCCTGCACTTCATAAGCTGGGTTGTTTGTGGCCACTGGAGAGTCACTGTTTATATTGACTCCTTCTTGGAACCGGTATCCATGGACAGGGCTGGAGTCATCCCAGCAGTCCCAGGGGTAGAAGACCCTGTAGGGCATGAGGACACACAGACGTTTCTACACTGTCACAAATGGGCACTTCCAGATGGATTTTTTGATTCTTAAGAGTGCCCTATGGGAAAATTGGGATCACCGCTGCCCTAGCCCCCACTGTCCTTCTCTCTGGTAGAATCTAAGGTAGAGAGTCCTTGCCTTCATGTGTGAGCAGAGAAGAGAGGTGAGCGGAGGGAAAGACTGGGGACCCACAGGGCCTGGGAGGAGCAGGAGACCTTGGTGGTTTCCAGAAGAGGAACCTCAGACACACGTGGCCACAAATACAGAAAGATGTGATGCATGCAGTTTCTCTGCCCAGAAAGGAGGGAACTCCACGTCTCAGAGACCCCAGAGACCCACCCAGAGGGGAGCTGAGAAGGAGAAGAGATCTTATCCACCTCCCACTTTGGGGCTTCCCTGGAGTACCAGAACCTGGACCACACACGTGGGTCCTGTTCACCAGGCCTATGGACCTTCCTGAAAGTTCCTCCTGTCTTTTAGGGGCTCGATGGGGACCCCAAGGGCCACTGGGGCATGAAGGATGAACGGGGCATGATCTAAGAGTCCTGCTACCCAGGGTGAGTTTCCTCTGGCAGCTCTAATTTTGTACCAAGAACGGTCCCTTCCTGACCTACCTGAGAGTCACAGTGTTGTCTAGACCTGAAGGTCACATTTGGAGAAGATTCTATTATCACGGGCATTTGACAGTGTGTGGGGACAGTTTCTACTGTCACACTGGGTGGGGTGGGGTACTGCTGCTGCATCTGGTACATAGAGGCCTGGATGCTAACAACACCCAGCTGAGCACAGGGCAGCCCCAGGAATAAAGGGGTACCCAGCCCCAGGTGTCAATCTTGCCATGGTCATAGTGGGATGACGATGTCGGCATGTGGGTGAGGAGAGAGGGGCATACAGGATCAGGAGGGAGGGTCCAAGGTGTAGCCCTGAGAGCTCAGGTTCTCATTTGTCTCCTCCCATGAGCACAACACAGTTCATGCCAACTCCCTCCCAAGACGGGGGTCCCATCCCAGCCTTGCCCTGCAGTCCCATGACCTTCTCCTGGGGCCGCTCCTGGAGCCCGTGCCTTACCCATCACATAAACAGAGAGCTGGTAGAAATGGTAACTCCATTTTACACTTCCTCTGTCCACCTAAAAGAACTATGTCCCCTGGTCACTTCTCCTGGTCTCTGATGCTCAGGGAGCATTGTTGGTCCATGGGCCCCCGAGGAGATGGAATCGACCCTGGGTCTCCTCCTGCACTTTTCAAGCTGGGTTGTTTGTGGCCACTGGAGCATCCCCTGTCTTGGCCCCTTCCCGGAACCAGTAGTCATAAGCTGTGTCAGAGTCAGTCCAGTAACCCCGGATGTAGGAGAAGGAACAGAATACAGAGACACACAGGCCCTCCTGCACTGTCACTGTCCCCTGCACACTCACTGTAACCATCTCCAAACTGTCCCTGTCCCTCTGTCCCCTCCTTCCCCCAGAGCAGGGGCAGCAGCTACATGTCTGGGGTGGGAGGTGCCAAGGCTGCTGGGCAAAGCCTCACCCTCAGGGTTCTTCTCTCAGGAACAAAGAGCTCAAGAATTAGGAAGACAGGAGAAGGCCAGAACAGTGACCTCCTCAGAGGAGGAGCTTCACACCCAGGTGCTGTCAGGGTTGGGTTAGCCCTAAGAGATCAATCATCCCCCACTCCTCCTCCATTCCTGGAGATCCAGAGAGAATCAGAGACATGTCCACATTTACACCCCATGCTGTATCCAACCCACATATCCTGCTTCCCTGTGTCACCCTCCCTGTCTGGTAACATTTTCTGCAAGTCAGAATGGTGCCCCTCGGGCCAGAACCTTGAGTAACAGGCTGTGAATAGCTGCAAATTTCAGGGGAAGAAGCTCAGGGAAAGGAGAGATGAGGCCTCAGAGGGGTGAGCAGTAGCCCCTCCTCCCTTCCTCATCCTCCATGAGGTGGGCATCCTCCCTTCTTATGACGAGTTCAACCACCAGACCTGCACACTGTCCTCCAGGAGTCACCATTCCATGGGGAGACAGTAAGTCTCCTGATGTCTGAGCTCCCATGACAAGATCTTCAGTGGGGCATGCACAAGCAGGATGAGGGACTTTCCCTTAGGTTGGGGTTTGAGTTCCAGGAGGACCAAGTAGAGGTTATGGGGCTGTGGAGTTGAGGGTTCCATGTGTCAACACACGCCATGGACACCAGGGGAGCCAGGCTCACAGGAGGCCTGGGAACCTGAGGCTGTGACTTTTGTGAGGTAGGATTTGAAGGGAAGGAAGTCAGAGGGAAGGGGCAGGTTTTGAAAGGGGCAGACATGTCTTTCTCCCCATAGCTCTCCAGGCACCAGGTGGGATTTCATCCCTGTTGTCATGTTACTGAGACACATGACCTCTTGTCACTCCAGAGCACATCAGGCCTGTCACTGCTAGAGTTTCTTGCAGGTTCTGTCCCAGGAATGAGCACAGGTGGGCAGGAGACATGGCACAAGGACACCAACTTTGGGGCTGTCCCTTCACAGGTGTCAGGACTTCATAGGATGAGAAAAACGCCACTGAATTCAATAGGAGATTGTTTTTACTGTGTAACTGGAATGGGATAAAGGGGGATCCTGGGACGTGGGGCCTCCTTAGACCCAAGTTTTTTTGGAGTATATAAGACATAGAGTTATAGTGCCCCCCAAAAGCAACTCAGTGGTTTACAGAAGATAAATACCCTCTGAGACATAGAGCATCACAAGAGAATTTTCAAGTCTCTTTCTTGAGACAAAGAAGTAAATTTCATTCATTTATTTATCCCTTTGCCCCTCACTTCCTGTGGGCCATGCCCCACTCTCTTCTGGAGGAACCCTGAGTCTCACTTTAATGCTAATTGTCTTCTTGTTTTTCTATGTAGTTTATCATCTGAGCATGCAGCTGTGAATTCCATGAATTTGCACATGTTTTCCTGAAGACTTTGCACACACGGAAAATTGCCACCTGTTTCATGACACTCAGCCTCATGGATTTGCCTATCCCATGTTGTCCCTCACTGTCTATTCCCTCGAGTAGCTGAGTGACAGTATTAAGAGGTGGTGCCTTTAAGTGGTGATTGGGTCAAGAGAGTTGCTTTCTTGTAAGAGGGATTAAGGTCCTTGTAAAAGAGGCTTCCCATAGCTTTGAAATAGCTTTACAGTTTGCAGTTCTGTCTGTGGAAGTACAGCAAGAAAGTCCTTACCAGATGCCAGATGCTGATGCCTTGACCCTGGACTTGTCAGCCTCCAGAAGGCTGAGGCAGGAGGATCGCTTGAGCCCAGGAGTTTGGGGTCTCAGTTTGCTATGACCCCGGCACTGCACTCAAAGATAGGAAACAGAGTGAAATCCCAATTCAGTGTTTTAAAAAATGTTCTTTGGTACTTTATGTTTCTGATGCTGCAGTAAATGAGCCAGAATTCAGACTTAGGGACCGTTTAGTGCCTCACCTGGTCCTTAGATTTGTTTTCACCTGAGCTTCTTTAGAAAGTGACTGCTGTGAGGTGTTCCTTTCCTCATTCGGGTGTTGCATCTAGGTAAATTTTTGGATCATGGTGTTTCATGTGTCAGAAGATCCTGTGGTCATTTTGAAGCTTTTCTCACTTACTCGGTTTGGCTTTTGAGGAGGGAGATTACAAGCTGCTGCTTCACTCTCTCATCTCAACCCACAAGTCTTTGAACTCAACTTTCAAAACAGAGGCAAACAGGGGCTCAGGAGAGGATGCTCTGGGAGGAGGGCCCCAGTGTGCAAGGACCCATGTATGATCAGCAGGGCAGGTGGAAAATTATTTAGAAAGGCTGGAGGGATCAGGGAGTCAAGCAGTTAGGATGGGGGAGCAGGAAGAGTGATCTCATGAGGAGGCCATGATGGGCTGTCAGGGCCTGGGATTCATGGAGGGGTTGTGAGCAGAACAGGGAGCTCTGTGTGTCCAAATGATGCCCTCTCCTTAGTCTATACAAGATGCACAGACTATGGAGATCCAGGAGGCCCAGAGGTCAAAGGAAAAGAGAGATGAGGCTGAAGAGGTGGGCAGGTCCAGGTGTCGAATGCACCTGACTCTCAGGCTGAGATCACTTCCTGGAAAGATGTGGAACAGCTATTTGCAGGCAGGTGGCACAGACATAGTTCCTGGTCAACTCCAGAGCCAGGGGACATTCCAACAGGGATGTCCAAGCATGGGAATCTGGCATATTCTTAGCCTACACCCTGTTTCAGGAGCTCTCATGGGATTTCACTCCTGTAATGCTTACTACAGCCTTGCAGGTAGGGCTTCCCATTTCTGTTTTACAGAGAAGGAAACTGAGGTACAGAGAGGTGGGAATTTGTCACTTACTAAACAAAGGGGCAGAGAGTGGATTCAGATTTGAAGCACTGTGATTCCAAATTCTGTTTTCCTTTCACTGCACTGATGGCATATCCCTGTGAGGGACTTTAACTCAACAGGAATCGGCCTCTGTATGGCCCTGTGCCTGGAGTGGCCGTGATACCTCATCCAGGGCCGAGGCTTGACAGCTTCTCACTTGTGGATCCTGATCTCCGAGTATTCGCTGCTGGGGGCCTCCTGGCCCTGCAGGACAGGAGGTTTCATTTTGAAGGTGATGGATGCATACTGGGGCTCTTGGCCCTTCCCAGAGGAGGAGGCTGCCACAGCTGAAGGAGGCTGGGCTGGGGAGTTGCCATCTGCCTGATATTCAGTCAGGGAGCCCTGAGTGGAGAGAGAGAGAGAGAGAGAGAGAGAGAGAGAGAGAGAGAGAGAGAGAGAGAGAGAGAGAGAGAGAGATCAGG